AAGTATATATGAATTTTAGTAGGTATTATAGATTTAAATGGGGACTCTAAATTTCAGCATCAGCTAATTTCAGCATCGTCCCCGACAAATAATAATTGATTTTAAAGATTTCTTATTTTCAAAAAACAAATCAACAAAACACAAATAATAATCATCATCTAAAATTTGTAGATTAAGTGAAAAAAAAATCTTTATCTCTGTAATATAATAGGAGTAGATATGACAAAAATTTGATAGCTATGAAAAAATTACTATGTTGCACTATCCTAAATACACATTACATAGACACATATTTATATAATTGGTTTACAAAATTTCGAGTATCATATATCTTGCTAGTATATGCATCTTGAGAATCATCTTCCTGATCTATTTCATCTAACCAATGAGTAATTATTTCTGTTGCAGTAGGTTGTTTATCAAAATCTTTATCCATACATTTCATAGCTAATTTAACAATCTGGTCCTAAACATTTAGGTCTTGATCCGTCAATGATTTTTGCTACAAGATAATCATCAAACGGAATTCCATTAAATGCTCTTTGTCCTGTCCAAAATCTCAGGTATTATGTACGATAGAATTCCACAAAAATTTCTTTCCTTTACTACTTTAGAAAGTCCAAGATCAGTAATATATACACATTGTAGATTATCTCCTTGCAAAATATTTCCGTTGTGTAAATCCTTGTGGGCGAGTTCCTGCGAATGAATCGACTCGAATCAAAGCTATATCGTATAAAATATTCAATTTATTCTTTCCATTCTAATTGTGATACTTCCTTAAGATTTTGTCGTAATGAATCATTTGGTGCGATCTCCATAACAATAATACAATCAGCAGAATTATTTCTTGATACTCCAAAACAATTCAAGAATGAAAAACCAATTTCGCAGTAAACCTTCAATTGCTGAATAAATTCTTGTATTTTTTTGTTTGAATCACTAATCACTAAGTGCAACGTCTCTCCATGTACTATTAATTCTATCGAACCGACGTGCGAAATATACGTTGCGAATCCCCTTTCCATTTTCGATGATATCTCTGAATTCATTATTATATCAATCCATGGTAATTTAAATCTCTCATCGTCTAATATTAATTTAAGTTCAGGATTGATATGATCAGGTAATTTATTAGTTTTCAAAAGACTTTTATATTTTCTGAACCAATAATTTACCTTCTGGACATCTCTCTTTGTACTAATACCGTTTCGATAAAATTGTGTAATATACTCGTTGCTACACTATTAACCAAATTAGCAGATTTTTGATAGTACTCAAATGCTTTATTATAATTTCCCCTCCTATATTCATAACAAACACCAACACTACACATTGCATAAGCATCACCCAAATCAGCCGACTTATAATATTCAAATGATTTTTGTAATTTTTTCTACTCCAGTTCCATAATTATACCAACATCATTCATCGCAGTTGGATTTCCTAACTCAGCTGCTCTTATATAATGTTTAAATGCTTTCTTTTTGTCTTTGTTAACACCAACACCATATTGATAATTGTAATCAAGTGAATGAGGTTGATTAGAGTCCATTTTTTTTAAAGGAAAAACAAAATAAATACATTAATTGCCCGAAGCGTAGTAGAGGACATTTATTGTTTGTCAAATTGATACAAAGCCATGTCAATAATTACGTTTTTGATTAGTTCATTAGTTGATTTATATTTGTGCATCAAAAATGTAATTTTGCAAAATTTTCATGTCTGCCTACATGCAGTCGTAGCCCACCCACCATCTATGATCGTACAGATTTTTCGAGGAAATCTTTGGCTTCATTAATTTTACTTGCCAAGTAAGGGGAACCTCCACGATCGGGATGGTTAAGAAGCATAATTCGGCGATGTGCTTCTTTAATTTTAGCTCTATTAACACCAGACTCTCTATCAATAATAATACCACGTAAAGTTAATATATATATTTTTATACTTTCAAAATATTTCCTTAAATAATTTTTTCGAAAGTACCGTAAGCCTAGGATCTGTATTGCTTCCTGTCTAGTAATCTTACGTTCAAACCCCCCTATTGGCCGCTTCTTGGACGCCGAATTACTAAATACCGTTTTTGAAGCTAACGGTTTAGAACTTTGAGCAGCCTTAAGTGCCCACCTACCGGCCAACGCTGCCGCTGTAACTACGGCTCCGATTATGATAGGGGTCGACTAGTGTTTAGATAGAACGTCACATAAGTTAATAATGAATTTAGATTTACTACATTACTAAAGGGATTTACCATTTTTTTTCTGAATTTTTTTTTATTTTTTTTTTTTGAGCATGAAGTTCTTTTTTTACGGACACGTACGGGTCACGTGATTTTGCACGTACCGACGATCACGTGATATTCAACGTACATCAAACTATCGAAGTTCAAATTTTCTCGACAACTATCCAATAGAATTTTGATGAAAATTTTTTTGAATAGATTCTGCGAATTAGTAGAATTTATTTTAAAAAAAATTTATCAAATTCAATTAGATAGTTGTTGAGAAATTATTGTGAAATTTTCAACGCCGCAAGAAAATGGCCACGTAGAAATTTTTCCAAATTTAACCGAAAATTTCTCGACAACTGTTCAATAGAATTTGATGAAAATTTTTTAAAATAAATTTTACGGATTATTAGAATTTATTAAAAAAATTTTCATCAAATTCTATCAAGTAGTTATCAAGATCTTTTCATTCAAAGTTTAGAAAAATTTCTGCCGTGGCTATTAAGGGGCGTTGAAAACTTTCCCAAACTTTGAATGAAAATTTCTCAATAACTATCCAATAGAATTTGTTAAAAATTTTTTTTTAAATAAGTTCTACTAATTCATAAGATTGATTTAAAAAAAGTTTCATCAAATTCTATTGAATAATTGTCGGGAAATTTTTGTTTAAAGTTTGAAAAAATTTTGCCATAGCTATTTTCTTGAGCTGTTGAAAAATTTCCCAAACTTTGAATGAAAATTTCTCAACAACTATCTAATTAAATTTGATCAATTTTTTTTAAAATAAATTCTACTATTTCGTAGAATCTATTCAAAAAATTTTCATCAAATTTTATTGGATAATTGTCGAGAAAATTTGTTCAAAATTAAGAAAAATTTAACATCAATAGTTTGACGTATATTATATAATACATGATTATTAGTATGTGCAAAATCACGTGTTCTGTATGTGTTCGTAGACTTTTCGAAGATTTACGAAGTCAGTGATCACGTGCCTACCATCATGTCACGTTTCTGGTCTCACAGCATAATAATATTTATTGTATAGGCCTTATATAATAAGTAGCTGCGCGAAATTGTCGCACTAAACCAGGAACGGAAGACAACTCCAATACAAAATAGTTATAAGTTATAGTTTTGAATAAATATCGGGTATAAACTAAATATATTGATTGATATGAGACACTATAATTTTAACAAACAAAAAATTTCATTAGATTTTTAGATGTAAAATACCTCCTTAAAAACATATTATTAGTATTTAAAGGGAATCTGGTTACTGATCGAATATCTCTTTCTTTCTCTTGCTCAAGTAAGGTTACGGATACAGCAAAATCACGGGGACAATAAAATTATGAACACGGTTTTATTACGAACGATTTTATTGGTACAAGGGTTTAATTGTCAGAGACCTAACTTCTACTACCAATACTTAGAA